AATGACAAAGAGAACGCCCCCTTAGTGTTTGAAGTTTCAAGCTTACAAAGTACAAACAATGCTATGCATAATAAGACAAAAGCAAATATAATTTGACAATTGTTTACAATTTTGTGAACATATCTACATATTGATACTTGGACCCTTTTTCAATTTTTGCCAATTTGCAAAGTTAAAAAAAAAAAAGGGGTTTATTTTTACTTTTAGTTATAAGTAAAATTAAAATGATCCTTCAAACACACCCCTCTCTCTAACCCTATAACTGTAGTCAATAAATGTTGTTGTCTGTTACACAGTTTCCCACTCTCTCTCCACAGTCAAAAACCACATTTTCAATATATTTTACCCTTTTCTACTCCATTTTCCTCAGCTAGAAACTGTCAACTCTGGTCCCTCTCCAACCTAACATCTATATTCTATTTATATTCTGTGTCCACCTATACACACACATACATACGCGTAGGTGTTCACCTTTGACTCTGTACTCTCATTATTATATACTCTACTTTGCCTAACATATACGTATGAATACATTCTCATAAAACAAATCTGTTGTTTTTAAAAATATCTTTCTATTTGTCTATTTCTGGGGTCGTGGCTATACAGCACATGCCGTTCTGTTAATTTGCTATTTTTTGTTGTTTAGCACAACTTTTTGTTTTGTAATTATTTGTATACAAAAGGGCGTTTTCTTCTGAAGACAAATCTGGGTTTCTCTCAATTTCTCACTCTAGGAGCTCAGATTATCTCAGAGGTGTCATCTTTACCTTTCCCATTTCATTTCTCCTTAATGGGTTTTTGATTGTTTATCCTATTGGTGCTGAAATATTCACAAGTTTGCTACTTCTTGTATAATTGCTTTAGCTTAAAGCTGTAATTTTTATCTGATTTCGCGATATGGGCTTTGGAGATTTGCGATTTTCAATCTGGGTTGTGTTCGTGTTGTGTTTGGTATACTTTTCTGTTGGATTTGATCCTGTTGATAAATACTATATAAATTGTGGATCCTCTAGTGATGTTACTGTGGGTAATACCATTTACCTTTCTGATAAATCTGCTTCCAAATTCCTGTCAACCCCACAAGATATATTGGCTGATAGCAATTTGAATAGCATCACCCGGTCTGAGGATTCTCAGCTGTATCGGACTGCTAGAATATTTACTGGACCGTCGAAGTATACATTTTCGATTGGCCAGAATGGGAGGCACTGGATCCGGCTATACTTTTATCCATTTGTTTATCAGAATTATGATATGAAGTCAGCTAGTTTTTCTGTTTTCTCCCAAACGACTGCACTTGTTAGTGATTTCAGTTCTAAGAATGTTACGGTTAAAGAATTTTCAGTCAATATAACGTCTGGAGATCTTGTAATCACCTTTTCCCCTTCAAGTAATTCGTTTGCATATATTAATGCTGTGGAAGTTGTCTCGGTACCGGATTCCCTCATTGTGGATGATGCCTCTCTTTTCAATCCATCGGGGGCATTTAATGGCCTGGTGAATCAGGCTCTTGAGACAGTTGCAAGGGTAAATATGGGTGGACCATTTGTCTCATTAGGGAATGACACGTTGGGGCGAACATGGGTGTCTGACCAAAGTTTCTTGCTACGACCAAACCTTGCCACAAATGCGTCTAAGATTTCAGCTGTTAGGTATCCGGCAGGGGGTCCAACGCCAGATATTGCTCCACCGACTGTGTATGGAACATGCACAAAGATGGACTCCGGAAGTGATCCCAATAGCAATTTCAACGTGACATGGGCTTTTAGTGTGGATCCGGGGTTTCAATACTTGATTCGGTTGCACTTTTGCGACATAGTGAGTACAGCGGCTAATCAACTGGTCTTTAATGTTTATATTGATTCATTCCTTGTTGCTCAGGATCTTGAACTAAGTACAAAAACCAATGGCCAGTTGGCCACTGCATATTATATGGACTTTGTCACCACATCATTTGATAAAAGTAACCTCAATCTAAGTATTGGCCCATCTTCTCTGAGTGCTTACCCTGATGCCCTTTTGAATGGATTGGAGATTATGAAAATAAACAATTCTCGAGGTAGCCTTGCTGGGGCACCCATTCTACCAACATTTCCAGGCTCCAAGAAGAAATTGGGAGTGATTGTGGGTGTTAGCGTTGGCGTGCTACTTGTTTTGGTGATGATTGGCATCCTATTGTTCATGCACAGAAGAAGAAAACAAGAACGCCTTCGCCATTCAAGAGCCTGGGTTCCTATATCCATCAATGGAGGAACTACCATGGGAAGTAAATACTCAACTGGAACTACCATTAGCATTGGTTCTAACTTGAGCTATCGCATCCCGTTTCTTGCAGTTCAAGAAGCAACAAACAACTTTGATGAGAGTTGGGTAATTGGAATTGGTGGCTTTGGGAAGGTTTACAAGGGGATTTTAAATGATGCTACAAATGTAGCTGTTAAGAGAGGCAATCCCCAATCCCAACAAGGTCTAGCAGAGTTCCGAACTGAAATTGAGATGCTCTCACAATTCAGGCACCGTCACTTGGTTTCTTTAATTGGATACTGTGACGAAAAGAATGAGATGATTCTAGTTTATGAATACATGGAAAATGGGACCCTCAAAAGTCACCTCTATGGTTCGAATCTTCCCAATTTGAGTTGGAAGCAGAGGCTTGAGATATGCATTGGATCAGCACGTGGACTACACTACCTTCACACAGGTGATGCCAAAGCAGTTATTCATCGTGATGTGAAGTCTGCAAACATCTTGCTCGATGAGAATCTTATGGCAAAGGTTGCTGACTTTGGACTTTCTAAGACAGGACCTGAGCTTGATCAAACCCATGTTAGTACAGCAGTTAAAGGGAGTTTCGGGTACCTGGATCCTGAGTATTTCAGAAGGCAACAACTAACAGAAAAATCAGATGTTTACTCATTCGGAGTTGTTTTATTTGAAGTTCTTTGTGCGAGGCCTGTAATAGATCCTTCTCTTCCAAGGGAAATGGTTAACTTAGCTGAATGGGCAATGAAGTGGCAAAAGAAAGGACAGCTAGATCAAATCATAGATCCTAATCTTGTGGGAAATATAAAACCAGATTCCCTCAGGAAGTTTGGAGAAACCGCTGAGAAATGCTTGGCTGATTTTGGGGTGGACAGGCCGTCCATGGGAGATGTATTGTGGAATCTTGAGTATGCTCTTCAACTTCAAGAGACAACAGTTCACAATGATCCCGAGGAGAACAGTACCAATGTCATTGGCCATCTCTCTCCACAAGTTGGTGAATTCAATCATGTTGATGCCAGCCCTTCCGTTGCCCAATTTGAAACATCAAGTGTAGATGATCTTTCGGGTGTTTCAATGAGTCGAGTTTTCTCACAACTAGTGAAGTCCGAGGGTCGATGACTCAATGCTTCTCTACAAGTTGGTAAACTAAATCATATCCGCAGTGGCTCCTCAACTGCTTAGTTTGAAATGTGAGTGTGAATAATATTGCAGGTGTTCCAAGGAGTCGAGTTTTTTCAACTATTGAAATTCGAAGGTAGATGACTTAATGCAGAAACATTACCATTTTGGCTCTCTTCTGCTGGTCAAATTTGTAGCATTGAAGTGTGGATGATCTTTCATTAGCAATCAATCCTTTGAAGGTTGGATTTTTTTCGTAGTTTGTTTGTATCCTGCTCTATCTAAATTAAATGAAACTGGTTGTTGAACCATCTTTCACTCCTAGGTATGTATTTTTACTGTCTGCTTATTGCATTCATATACTTTGAAACTAATGGCTTGTATTTAGCATCGGCTTCTTTTGTCTCAACATAACGAGTTCTTTGTCTGTAGATGGTATATTTTGCCTAGTTTTATTTTGAGTAGTGCTACGTACAACAATGGTGATCTCCTGCCCACGGCGGGCAAGACTTATTATGCCCACGGTGGGTGTGGCAACATCTGGTGTTGCCACGTCAATAGTGGGAATATGATGTGGCAACACCAGATATTGTCACACGCAGTGGGCACAATAACTCGTGACCACTGTGTGCAAGAGATCAAACCCCGATACACACAAATGCTTGTCTCATTGAGTGAGTTATGCAGATCATAAAATTTGATCTGGTTAAATTATTGAGTACTATTGCATAAAGTCGCCTTCTCTATGTGAGATCTTGAGAACAATTGTCCTGATGGCTGGTGCAGTTGCATTACCAGGATTGATGATAATGGTATCTATTGAGGTCCGGTCCAGTCGACGTTGACCTAGGGATTTATACCATCGTAGAATGAGGTGCACCATTTTGATATTTAAGTTACTGATGCCTATATATAGAAGAAACCTTATGCAGTCTGAAGAAAATCCATGGAGTTAGCTTTCTTTAGGCTTCATGAAATAAGAATATTAAGTCCTAACTTTTTGAAGGTCTTGACTAAACTGGTTGTTAGAGGATGAACGAAGTGATTTCAACAGGTAATCAGACCAAGTCTGCAGAATAGTTCCGTCCAACCGGTCTGGGCATCAATCCAAAAAAAGACAAGGGGTTAAGGATCAAAAGGACGAACTGATAGGCAAAAAATCAAAAAATGGAGGTTGACCCACCACTTTTCTGCTTGTTTTAAATGATTTATTTTATTTATTTATTTTGACATATAAATGAACTGCTTCCCTAAGATTAGGGTTTAGATTTAATAATTATGAATAGATGTCTAATTTATGGAGAATGGGTGCTCTATTCAGCAACACATGAACTCCTCCAAGTATTTTTCCTGTAAATTTTGTTCTTTTCCATAATTCTCAAGTTTAAAAACTGTATACTCAAATATGCAATCATAAATTTCTTGGTTGTCCTGTCAATTAAATGAAATTGTCCACTTGATAATCAAAATCATTTCCATCTTTGAAAAATGGTTAGATCAATCCTATAACTTATAAGAACTGAACTTACGTCTAAGTAGCCAAATCAAGAATCTACATGAAATTTAGCCCCGTTTTGTTTTTAATACAAATCAGATTTTTAATAGATTTCGATAAAAGTTTATTACATGAGTGATTAAAAAGTTGATAAAAATTGTGGATCCCATAAAATTTGTAGTTAAAAATACGTTTGTATAGAAAATGATTTTTGACAAATAAGGGCTAAACATTGCTATTCTAATTACATGTAAAAAAAAAAAAAATCCTATTTGAAATCAAGAATATTTTAGTATTAAATCGAATCATACCAAACAACAATTTTAATTGTTAACAACTATTTGAAATTGTCATAAACTGTTTATTAAATTTAAGGGCTGTTTGGGTCGGATTAAAATTTGATTTTAATCTAAGTCAAAGTCAAGCAATCAATATTAATCATATCTTTCATGAGTCCAACATCTTTTCAACCACACATTTCAAGAACTTTTATCACAATCCATTAAAAAATTAATTTTAATCCCCATCAAACACCCTCTTAAACATAAAGAAAGAAAGACAGAAAAATTCGATGAGAGACCAGACGTGTGAGATACTAGAGCATGGAAATGAAAATCAATTAAAAATACAACAAAACTGTTATTTTAAATCCGTTAAACTAATTAAAAAATAGTTAGCCGTGGAAGTGTAGAACTTCAACTTGCATTGACACTAATATTTCTTTTGGCTTGTATTGATACTAATTTAAGAAATTTGACGCAAATGTCTCTAATGTTCGTTTCTTGGCACGTACGTCTCTTAAACTATTTGTCTAGTGCACAATTGGTCCGTTTTCATCAATGTGCTTAATTTTTATATAATGAGGAAATTGCACTAAATGTCACTTTTTGGCTTTGCAATTACAAAAATGTCACTTTTTTTAATTCTTTGCAAGATTGTCATTTTTGGACATTTTTGTCCATCTAGATAATTTAAATACCTGACTTGTCCTTCATTAAATAAGATTTGACTAGATGAAAAATTGTACAAAAATTCTGTAAATGTCAGGAAATCTGTCAATTTTGGAGTTAAAAAAAAGGATAAATCTAAATGTACAAAATGTTTTACCTAATGTTTTACAAACTGGACATTTGGCGCCCCCCTGTTGGAGGTGGTAGGCGCCCCTCCAACAGGAGGGCGCCAAGTGTCTAGTTTGTAAAAAATTAGGTAAAATATTTTGTACATGTAGTATGGTCTTTAAAAAAAAGGGGTGAAACCAAAAACCACCCTAAACTCACTCCACCAAAAAAAAAGGACTGAACTCACTCACTGCACCGCCCATTCATTTCGCCAGAAATGAAGAAAATACCAACTCACTCCCCTCACCGAATTTGCCGTGGACTACCACAGCGAAAATGTCCATCGCCGATGGAGAACCCATTAGAAACTCACAGCCGTTGTTGCCATTTTCACTCAGGTAAACGATATTCTCTGTAGATGTTCAGTCCTTTCTTTTTTCTCTATAAAAAGAAAAAAGGTATACAACCGTGAACCTTTCAGACTAATCCTGGTAAGTGCAAAACTGTGGCAAGTTATATCATGTGTATGGATCAGAATTAATGTGTTGTAAACTCTTCTAGATTTGGCATGTATTAAACCGGATCAGTTTGCTTCTTTTCTAAACTTGGGCTCTATGGTTTGATTGGTTTCATTTCATTAATTGCACACAATGAAATATACTGAATTACCGTGTCTCCGAGATCTGTTTATCTGTTCTATTTCCAGTTATTGTTATAAATATCATATGGGTGATTCTGTTTAGATAATTAATGTGAAGGGAGGCTCATGTTGAAGGGGGATATTTTCTCTGGTTCTCATTATTGAAGCTAAACAAGGAATTCTTGTTTGTTTCTCCACTATTGGTTAAAAATGCAAGTGAGAACCAGTAGAATCTGTAGAGCTGACCCTTTTGTAGTTATGAAAAAGTTGTGCACCTCGAAATAAAGGTTGAGGACCACTTGTACATTTCAAATGGATCTAAATCTTATGAAAATTCAATAAACAATCAAGCTTTGTTTTCTAGCTTAAAGAATTCCTATGTACAGCAAGGTAAGAGTTGGCTAGGATTAGATCATAACTTTGTTGCATACATGCACGTTGTGGCTTAATTTTCTTAAGAGTTGATGATGATTTTTATGTGAGGTAAGGTTGAATATTAATAAAGTCAATAAAATGGTTCTCGTATTCACATAATTAAATGACCCATAATCACATTTAACATCACATGAGATGGGACAATTGATTCCTGTCTTTTTAATTGTATTGTGTGGGATCCATACATCAAGAAGTATAGTTTAGGAAACATAGCAGCAGAGATTTCCAATCTCTGACTTGTGTTGCACTTGGATCTCCAAACTTCAGTATGGAGCATTTAAGTCTCCAATCTTTCATGTTGATGGCACTTGAGTTTTCAATAGACGATTTTGCCATTATTTTTAGGGTAATTATATTTACACCATAATTTTTATGAATTTTTGAAACACATGCCATCGTGTTGATTATGGCACACTAAAATTGCTTAGATACTGTTGAAGCAAAGATGAGATGCCAAAATGAACTCTTTTATGGTAAATTCTCTGATTGTGAAGGTTGATGTCCTTTCTCTCTTCGTCAAAATACAGATAATGAATTGAGGACACTAGAAGAAGAAGAAGAAACATAAGATGGACTTATAATGGGTCTCATGGTTTCAAAAGAATTTTCTTTCTCCATCTTTATCTTTGTTCCAATATTACCTCTTGGCAATACTTATTCGTTGTACATTAACTGCCACCAGTATATTGATTGATCAATCGAGCCATCAATCCATTCTCCATTTTTTTGAGTTTCACTCGTGTATTGCAAAGATGGTTCGATCGAGTATCAGTTTATTAAGCAAGGCACCTATAAAACTATTTTTTTCACTTGTTGAGGGTGATGTAACTCAAATAAGCATTTTTTCTATACTCCAATCGCCTGCCAGATATTCCATCCAGCATTATAAATGTGATTCCATCCATTTTATAGTATTTATTATATATTAAAAAACGAAAAAGTGAGTTATTATTGAAAAACGAAAAACGAAAAGTGAGGTAATTCATGCATGATAAGAAATTTGTAGTATTTATTACATATTGAAAAACGAAAAGTAAGTTATCATTGAAATAATTAAATTTTAGTAGGGTAAAATCGTTCAAAAAATGATTATCACGTGATGTGATATTTAATATATTATAGATATTTATGATTTGTGATGGATCATCAATGTAATGTGTTGAATTATCATTTGTGATTTGTGAGATTTACTCAGTGATTTGATTGTAGTATATGAAGAGATAAATATCTTTCACGTTATTCAGAAGTTTTTAAACCATGTTTATGAGTTTTTCGAATATATAGGTTTAATGAGTTTTAGCAAATGATAGTATTTTATTATTTAATACGATTTCTAAGTGATATTTGTTGGGCAGTGGATCCTCAAACTTCT